GGCCCCGCGCGGACAGACTGACTTCGCCGACAGATTGACGGCCGCGTGGGCGCCTCACCACCATGGTCGCGTAGCCTCCTCAGGCGCCAGCCGCGCTGGACCCCTCGCTCGTCGTCCTCGTCGCCGATGCCGCCGCCATGGCGACACAAAGGGGAGGGCGCGAGCTGCGCGCGGGCGGCTGCAGGCCCCGCCCCTAACGGCCGCCCGTGGCTCCGGCACTAGCCTCACAGGGGCGGGGGCAATGGGGGACGCCGCGCAGCGTCTCATTGGCTCCACCCTTGGCCTTAGGACGACGCCCCGCCCACCTGGCAGATTTTCATTGGCTTGGGTCTCATTTCTGGATCGGTCTCTCCGGTCCCGCCCCGCGAAGTTTGACAGCGCCACGCCTATGCCTGCTGTTCATTGGCCGTCATTCCCCTCCTGAGACACACCCTCAGGTTCTTTATGCTTTGCTTCTAACATTTCTAACACTAAGCTGTGGACCCTTCCCTTAGTCCACTGTCAGTGACCGCTCCTCTGCCACTTTCAATTGGCTTCTCCCATGGCCTCAAGCTTTTCTCCATCCCCCTAAGCAGCTCTTCAAAGTCTCGATCCTCTGACCCCACTTTGTCAGTCCTTGACCCCTCCCCTGCCCACAGAATACTAACAACATTGGCCCCTGGATGTTTTTCACTGGCTCAGATGTCCTGCCTGGGACATAACCCTAGGCAATCTGCGACTTAGCCTCCCCCTACTCACTGGACATTTTCCTTGCCTCCTCCTCTACTGCTTCTTACAGGCTGGCCTCCAGCCTTGACTCCTCGTCCCTAGGAATAAATTTAGCCTGCATGCCTGAACATGACCACGCCTCCCATAAAGCCAGTCCCAATTGTTCCCGCTGTTGACTGAGGCTCAGAAAACACTCTGTAGGGACTTCCCTGGTGGCTCAGTGGTTAAAGATCCGCCTACCAATGCAGGGGATACGGGTTCGAGCCCTGCTACGGGAAGATCCCACATGCCGCGGAGCAACTAAGCCCGTGTGCCACAACTACTGAGCCTGCGCTCTAGAGCCCGCAAGCCACAACTACTAAGCCTGCATGCCACAACTACTGAAGCCTGCACACCTAGAGCCTGTGCTCTACAGCAAGAGAAGCCACTGCAATGAGAAGCCTGTGCACCGCAACCAGGAGTAACCCCGCTTGCCTCAACTAGAGAAAGCCTGTGCGCAGCAACAAAGACCCAATACAGCCAAAAATAAATAAATAAATAAATAATTATAAATAAATAAATACAGCTCTCTGATCCCTGGACCAGGTATGTACATTAAAAAAAAAAAAGAAAGAAAGATGGGCTTCCCTGGTGGCGCAGTGGTTGAGAGTTCGCCTGCCGGTGCAGGGGGCGCGGGTTCGTGCCCCGGTCTGGGAGGATCCCACGTGCCGCGGAGCGGCTGGGCCCCTGAGCCATGGCCCCTGAGCCATGGCCGCTGAGCCTGCGCGTCCAGAGCTTGTGCTCCGCGGCGGCAGAGGCCACAACGGTGAGAGGCCCGCGTGCCGCAAAAACAAACAAACGAACAACAACAAAAAAAAGAAAATAAAAGAAAACACTCTGTAACAACGCCTTCTCCAAGACAATTTGCCATTGGTCATGCCCTCAACAAGGCCCTCGAAGGTACATCCCTGATCCATCCATTCATTCATTCAAAAACTCTGATCGCTTAATTTGTGGATATATCAGCAACCAAAACAGGGGAAAATATACCCTGCCCACACGGAGCTCAAAAGCTAGTGGGAAAAGACAGTTTACAAAATAAGTATTTTAAAATATAGAATATTAGAAAGCGATAAGTTCTATGGATAAAATGTAAGCCAAGATTGGGGAAAGGGAGTGCTGACGGTGGGGTAAATTTACAGCTACTTATTTCAGTTTATTGAACTTGCTGACTTCACTTCCATAACAGGGATTTCCCACATGAATTTCCCTCTGCCCGGAGTATTCGCTGCGCGCCTCCCCCGCCACCCCCACCATTAAAACACGACTGCAAATTCTTTCACACTCCTCTTATGAAAAGGTAGAGTCTATCTCCATCTGGGCAGGATTGTGACAACTTCAACCAATAGAGAATAGTAATGAATAGAAATTGACACTATGTGATTTCCAAGGCTACGTAGTAAAAGGCAAAGGCATTCTTTGTCCACTGGCATGACTAGCTCTGGAGCCTTGAGGCATCATGTGAGAAGTGCAACTCTGCTGAGGTAGTCGTGCTCTGAGGAAGCATAAACCACATGGAGAGACCTTGTGTAGGCACTACAGTCTGTAGTTCCAGCTTAAAGTCATCTGAGCCCTGATGTCAGACTTGGGAGTGAAGAAACCTCCAGAGATTCCGCCCCCAGCTGTCAGGCCACCTTTGTCTTCCCAGCTGAACCCATAGACATCATGGAGCAGAGACAAACTGTCCCCAACTGTGCCCCGTTCAAATTTCTGACTCACAGAATCCATGAGCATAATAAAATGATTGTTTTATACCACTAAGTTTTGGGGTGGCTTGTAATCCAGAAATAGTAATTAGGATGGCCCTTTGTTAGTTATTAATTCCTACCTGTCTCAGCTCAAATATAACTTCCTCAGGAAAATTTCTAGGTCCCACTCACCCCCCAAGATCAGATTCTGCTACTATAAACATCTTTTTTTCTCCTTATATCTAAGCAGCTATTTCCTTCTTTTGATTTTATTTAAATGTATGGTTTGTTCAAAAAGACTGAAAACAAGTATTTACCATGTCTGTGACATAAAGAAGCTACTTTTTACAGAAATCTATCCTATCTTCTCTTTTTTTGTAAATACAAATATCAAAATAATCCTGATCATATATTCTCCAACATTTTATTATAAAAGTTTTCTAACATACAGCAAAGCTGAACAATTTTACACCCATATACCCACCACTTAGATCCTACCATTAGCATTTTACTATATTTGCTTTATCTCACATCTACCTATTACTCTATTCATCCATTAATCTAATTTTTGGATGCATTTCAAAATAAATTAAAGACATTGTATACTGTCTCCTAAATACTTCAGCATGCATATCCTTCATTGGAGTTCAATATTTATTTTTCTTTTGAGGTAAACCTTACATACCATGCAATTCATAAACTTCACTGAATTTTGACACCTTTGTAGTCAAAATCCTTATCCAGGATGGCAACTGGACTTTTTATATGGCATCCCAGGGCTCCAAAAGGAGGGGGACGGGGAGAGACGGAGAGAGAAGAGAGACTGGGAGAAAAACAGGTGGAAATTATATCATCTTTTCTAATCCAATTTAGAAAGTTAAAGTAATATCACTTCCTCTGCATTTTATTTGTGGAGGCAGTCACAAAGTTCAACCCAGTTTCAAGAAGGGACATAGACTCTACTTTTTGGATGGGAAATGTGTCAAAGTATTCACAGATAAAACAATAGGTTTTTCACAATAGTCCGGACAGGTGAATGATAGCCTAGACTGGGGTGGGGCAGTGGAATGGGGAGAAAGGCGGGGTTAAATTCTGGAGAGATTTTAAAGGTAGAGATGATAGAACTTGCTGGTCAACTGACTGTGGGTGTGAGGGAACGAGAGGAGTCAATGACAGCTGTGAGGCTTCTGACCTGAGCAAGTACAAGGATGGAGCTGAGAGCCAGGGAGGAGCAGGTTTAAGGGGAAGATTAAGATCTGTGGAGTTTGAGACATCTCTTAGACTTTTTTGTGTGGATGATGAGCAAGTAGCAGGGTATAAGAACCTGAGGTTCTAGGCTGAAGATAGAAATTTGTGGACTATCAGAAAAGAAATGGGGTTTAGAGCCCATGATGCCAGATGAGAGCACCTGGGATTGACTGTAGATAGAAAAGTCAAGGCCAGGGCCCTGGGACACACTAAAGTGACAGGTGTGAGGCATAATGAGGAGGCACAACCAGAGAGGTGAGGAGAGGGCTGGGGTTCTGGAAGCCAGGAAAAGAAGTGCTTCAAGGAGGGGGTGGGGATCAGAGCACCAAATGCTGCTGCTGGGTCAAGCAGGATGTGGACTGAGGCCTGACCATTGTCCCACACTCTGATGACTCTACAAGCTTCATACCCAGAGGACAGTTCCTTTGGTCTCATCTGAGACAGGAGGATCCACTCCTGAGTTGAAGGTCAGATAAGGTGAGTCCCAGTCTTGCCCGGAACCCCTCTCCTGCCCTCATAGAGGATGAAACCAGAAGAGACTTTGCTTCAGTGGTCAGAAACTAGGGTGAGGTGGGGCAGGGCAGAGCTAGGGTGTGTGTGTGGGGGGAGGCGGGGCATGGGAGCTATTTCCCTAAATTAGCATGACCCTTGGACTTTCCAAAACAACTTCTTTCTCAGAGACAACCAGTAACCTGAAAAAAAAAATTTATTAGGAAAAATAGAATCTGTACAATTCAAAGTCGTCTGGCCTCGAGAGGCTCCTTCCCTCCTCAGCCGCATCCTTGGGGACCCAGAGGCGACCTGGCTGGAGGAGACCAAGACCCTGGGTCTTCAGTGTGGCCCAGCAGGCGGGATATCTGGGCATCTACTTTCCTGGAAAAAGGACAGCGGGGTAGAGGCTGAAGTTTTGCTCAGGATTGGGGTCTGGGGCTGTGTATGTTCTGGGAAAGGGGCTCAGGAGAAGTGGGTACCAAACGGCGGTCTCCGAGGATTCAGGGGCCGGGTGTCTTAAATCCTGGCATGGTCACCTTTTCTGCCGCCGCAGCTCCGCCCTTTGAATCCTTAGCACCTGCAGTATAGGGTCGTCCTGGAACTCGCTGCCGTCGGAGTCTGGGGGAAAAAGAGCGAGATTCAGGGGGCCGGAATCGTAGCGTGCTGGACTGCCATCCAGATCCGGGCAGCCACGAGCGTCGTTGCACATCAGCTCACCTTCCGCAGCCTGAAGAAGTCTGGCAGCCTGGAAGAGGACGTCCTCTGAGGGGGCGTGGCCATCAGCGGATGAGGGCGTGATCACAACTTCAAGAGCCCCCTCCTTGAATGGACGGGGCGGGTCCTTAACACAAGTGGCCGCCTCCTCAAATGGAGGGGGCCGGACCTCGGGCGGCTTACACCCGACTTCAGCCAAGAAAGTGTCTTTGTCCTTCCTAGGCACCGATCCCACTAGGGGGAGCATGGCCTTGGCGTTCCGAGACTCAGCCTTAGACCGATCTTGCGGGGTCTCTGCCTGGGGACACCGTGATTCAGATGGAGGGGCCGTGACCGCTGAACGAGAGGACAGAGTCTCGGTTTGAGGGCGTGTGGCCTTGACTTTCTGAGATTCAGCCTCGGGTGGAGGCTGGCCCTCTTGGCGAGGGGGCGTGTCCTCCAGGCTGTCCGGAAACAGCCGAGCCGCCACTACTTGGCCCAGCGCGCCTCTGAGCTGCGGGCCAGGGCCCTCGTCCGCTGCCGTGATTCGCCCAGCAGACTCCTGGCGCTGGGCTCTGCTTCTTCGAGGCTTGGAGCTCTGCCTCTCGACCTCGGCTGGGCTGCATGGTGCAGGGGTGGGCGGGCCCTGGGGGGCGGCAGGGGGCGCAGGAGTGGAGGCAGATGGCGCAGTGGTTGAGGCTGGAGGCGCAGGAGTGGAGGCTGGGGGCGCTGGGGTGGAGGCCGCGGCCGTGGGAGGGATGGCCCCAAGAGATACCCAGGGACCGGACTGCGGGACCCAGAAGAATCCATGGGGGCTGTGGCCCCAAAAGATATGTGGAGAGAACCCTGGGGGAATAGGAGGCCTCTCCAAGTGGAAGGCTTCCTGGGGACCAGATGGAGCCACACTGCCCCAAAGTGGGATGCAGTTAGGCTGGGTTCCCAAGGAACCAAGGGTCTCCGCAGGGGCAGGAGAGGTCTGTAGACAGCTGGGGATAGGGACCTGAGAGGGAGAGAAAGGGTAGAGGGTCCTCAGTCCCCCTCAGCCTCCCCCTTCCTCCAACTTCCCTTAGGATCCCTGCTCCAGCCCCCTCAGTCTCCTCCCTCCCCCATCTCACCGCAGGGGTGAGGGCAGGGGTCTGGGGCAGCACCCAGGTTCCATCACTCTGGCTTCCTCGAGCCTGTTCAAGCTTCCGCCGCTGCCGCCACTGGTATAGAATGTCATCCTCTGGCCTCAGGGGTGCCAGGGAGGAGACTGGGGATGGAGTAGGGATGGGGGCAGGTGCTGGGGTTGCTGTGGAGTAAGTAGAGGGAAGAGGGGTAAGGCAGGGCCTGGGGGGGATGAGCAAGGACAGCCTAGCACACACCCATCAACTGTACCAGAAGATTATTCAGACAGGCTCTCCAGATAATGTCCCAACTCCCCTGCAGATTGGGAAGTGGGGAAAGGGGCAGAATCAGAGAAGAGGGCCCTCATGGGCTTCTCAACCTGTCATCATTCAATTCTTCATTCATCAACAAATATTTATTGAGCTCTTACTATTTGCCAGGCACTGTTCTGGACATGGTGGTTACAGCAGTGACCAAGGCGGATCCTCCAGAATCTGCCCACTTCTCCCCACTTTACTTCCCTCACCTGCCAACCTCGAAGCAACTTCCTCCCTGGTTTCCCTTCTTCCTATCCTCCCAAACTGTCCCCACCCACAGCCAGAGGGAGCCTGTGAACACCTGAGTCAGATCAGGGTCCTCCTGGGTTAGAATCTTCCCCGGGCTGCACCTCTCTCCTGGTAAAAAGCAAAAGTCTTTGCATTTGTGGTTTCCTGTGCCTGGAAGGCTCTTCGTTCATGTAACCACAGGGTTCACTCCAAGTCTTTCCAATATTTTCCCAGGTATCACCTTCTTAGTGACGCCTTCCCTGGCTACCCTATTCAAAACTGCAACAACCCCAGCCCTACCACTCTCCATCCTCTTTCCTGTTCCATTTTTCTCCTTAGCACTTATTACCTTCTAACTAAATATCTAAATATCGTACTTCTCTGCTTATTTATTGTTCATCTCTCCCTCCACAATGCCAGCTACACAAGGGCAGCAATTTTTGTCTATCTGGCCATTATCATATCCTCAGTGTCAAGAACAGGACCTAGTGTCAGTATTTGTGGCATAAATGCAAAATGAACTGTTTATTGTGTTCCATCCCAGTGCCCAACCCTGTGCTGGGAATACAGCAGTGACTAAAGGCAGGGCCACTGGCTGTCCACAGTCCTGTGGGGCAAAGAGACACCATTCCCTATCAACCAGAGCATCATTTTGTCAGTTATGATTAGTATGGCTACCATTATCTCTCGGAAGCCCCACCTACTAATGCTGCACAGAGAAGGGTGGGGGGTGCATCATGTGGGACCTCTTCTTCTCTCCCTTCTATATACTGTGATTCTACTTCCAGACCTGGCCACTCCCCTCTACTCTGCTCCTCAGGCTGTGGCCCAACCCAAACTACCAGAGTCTGTCTCTCACTAGATGTTGATAGCAGCCATAGGGAGCCAATAAAGATCCTGTGCACTCCTTGCTCAGAACTCTCCCGTGGCTCCCCGGTAGATTATGACCAAATGCCTCACATGCCTACATAGCCCATGGAATCCGACCCCTGCCAATCTCTTCCACCTTATCCCACACTACTCTTACTCCTGGCTCTTGCCTTTCCTAGTTCATTGTCTGCATCGTGTTCCCTCCGACCTCAGGTCCTTTGTGCAGGCTAGAGGGCTATTGTCCCCACCTGCATCATTCAGGTCTCCACTTAGATAGCACCTCTTCCAGGAAGGCCTTCTCTGACATCCCAGCATCGCAATTCTCTCCTGCATGGCCCTCATTTCTGCTTATATTTCACATTTGTTTGTGGAGTTATGTAGCTATTCTCTGCCCCACACTCACTATCCTGTGAGGACCATGAAGGTGGGACCATGTATGGTTGGTTCACTAAGGAATCCCCAATCCCGCTCACAGGCTTCATACACAACAGATATTCAATGTTTGTTATGTGAAATAATGAATACATTTAATCTGCAAAACAACTCATGAAGTAGGTAGTAGTTTTATCCCCATTTTACAGATGAGGAAACTGAGGCTCAAGGAGGAGAAGTGAATAAAAAGAGAAGGAGCAAAGAATCAGACAGGCGAGTGCTTGGGCAGGATCACACAACATGCACAAACACCACTCTGTTCCCTCTGCTTGCCTGTCCCCACTCACGGGAGTCCTGTGAGACATGGAGAGCATCTGTCCTGTGCACCATTGCATCCTAGGACCTGGGCACAGAGTAACGGTAAGAATGATGACCGTAACAGTAACCCATATCCTTAATCCAATCTCTGAACTCTTGGGGGCAGAAATTTGCGAGTTCAACAGTTTGCATGTTTTAGCAAAGTTACATGGTATATACAGTGTTGACAGGGGTCTGGATCAGTACACCAGACTCAAACACATTGGTATTTAGTTGAACAATATGAAATTGCCATTATTCAACCATTTTTCACTTACAGACAAAAATTTCATATGGTTCAATGTTATATATCCATAGAAAGAAGAACGAATATTTACTCCCTGACTTCAGACTATACTACAAAGCTACAGTAATCAAAACAGAACAGTACTGGCACAAAAACAGACAAGTAGATAAATGGAATAGAACAGAGAGCCCAGAAATAAATCCACACACTTATGGTCAATTAATCTACAACAAAGGAAGCAAGAACATACAATGGGGAAAAGACAGTTTCTTCAATAAGTGGTGCTGGGAAAACTGGACAGCTACATGTAAAAGAATGAGATTAGAATATATCCTCCCACTTCATACAAAAAGAAACTCAAAATGGATTAAAGACCTAAACGTAAAACCTGAAGCCATAAAACTCCTACAAGAAAACACAGGCATAGAACACTCTTTGACACAAATCATAGCAATATTTTTGTAGATCTGTCTCCTAACGCAAAGGAAACAAAAGCAAAAATAAATGAATGGGACCTAATTAAACTTAAAAGCTTTTGTACAGCAAAGGAAACCATCAACAAAGCAAAAAGACAACCTACTGAATGGGAGAAAATATTTGCAAACAGTATGACTGACAAGGGATTAATGACCAAAATATATTAACAGCTTATACAACTCAACATCAAAAAACAAACAACCTGATTAAAAGATGGGCAGAAGACCAGAATAGACATTTTTCCAAAGAAGACATACAGAAGGCCAAGAGGCACATTCAAAGATGCTCAACAATGCTACTCATCAGAGAAATGGAAATCAAAATCACAATGAGATATCACCTCATACCTGTCAGAATGGCTATCATCGAAAAGACCACAAATAACAAATGTTGGTGAAGATGTGGAGAAAAGGGAACCCCTGTACACTGTTTATGGGAATGTAAACTGGTGCAGCCACTGTGGAAAACAATATAATGGTTCCTCAAAAAACTAAAAATAGAACTACCATATGATCCAGCAATTCTACTCCTGGGTCTATATCTGAAGAAAATGAAAACAGTAATTCAAAAAGATACATGCACCCCAATGTTCATAGCAGCATTATTTACAATAGCCAACATATGGAAGCAACCTAAGTAAGTGTCCATCAACAGACAAATGGATAAAGAAGATGTGGTGTATATATACAATGGAATCCTACTCATCCATTAAAAAGAATGAAATTCTACCATTTGCAACAACATGGATGGACCTAGAAGGTATTATGCTTAGTTAAATAAGTCAGACAGTGAAAGGTGAATACCATACATTATCACTTACATGTAGAACTGAAAGAATAAAATAAACGAATGAATAGAACAAAACAGAAACTGACTCACAGATATAGGGAACAAACTAGTGGTTACCAGTAGGGAGAGGGAAGCAGAGGAGGGGCAGGATAGGGACAGGGGCTAAGAGGTACAAACTACTATGTATAAAATAAAAAGCTACAAAGAAATATTGTGGAGCACAGGGAATATAGCCAATATTTTATAATAACTTTAAATGGAGTATAATCTGTAAAAATTTTGAATTACTATGTTGTACACCTGAAACTAATATAATATTGTAAATCAACTATACCTCAATAAAATAAGATAGATATATGAATATTCTTCATACTGTTTACATCAAATTTTGCTGGCAAATCAGCTGTGGTGCCAAATTTGCAAAAAGCCTTCTGATTTTGGGGCTTCGTGTTCAGAACTGCAGACAGGACGCAGAGAGAGAACATGCATACTCCTGATAGCTACTGTTAACAGAGCCGTGCTAGGTTTTCCATGTATTCACCAACTCATTTAATCCTCACAACACCCATGGCAGAGGAGTACAATTATTTCCCCTGTTTTACAGCTGGGGAAACAAGGCCCAGAGAGGCCCAAGGTCACAGAGCTGGTAAGTCGAAAGGCTGGGATTTGCACCCAGACTGCCCTCATCCTTGCCTCCCAGAACCTACCTTGTGCCTTGGGGTCAGAGCCCTTGCTGGAGTCAGGAGTGAAGGTCATGGAGAAGGGAGAGAGGCCATCAGAGCCGACGGGGAATGAGGAGATGCCGGCATCGCCGGGGCTGGGGGAGGAGGAGGAAGAGATGGAGGCCTTGCTGTAGGGAGAGGCAGAAGTGAGTCAACGGGGGTCTCAGAGGCAGTAGCCCGAGCCTGGAGGGGTAGGAGTGGGGAGGATGATGGGGGTGGGGGAGGCACCTGCATTTGAGCAGCCTGGCAGCTCTGCTTTGCAGGCTCAGTGTCTCCAAGTCCAGCAGGGATGAGTTCCACGTGTTGAGGCTCTGTGAGGTGACAGGGGTCAGAGGCCAGTCCCCATCCCAAAGGCTACTGGGAAAGGGGCTCGGGACAGAGGGCCTGGATGCAGGTCTACATTCCACCTGGTGCCCTCACATGCTGGCTTAGAATCTGCTCTTCTTCCTCAGGAAAGAGAGACCAGGTTTTCCTCTGTGGATCCATATCCCTCAGTGCAGTCATTGTTATAGAAGGGTTGACCCTGCCTTCTTGATCAGGCCTGGCTAGTCATAATGTTCTGTCCTCTGGTTCACAGTGATTGGCTCAAAGATGAGTGAATGAGAGTAAGCCCTGGGGTTTAGGATGGAGCTATTGGAAAAGCCTTCTCTTTCCACTGGAGTGATCAAGTACATTAGAAGCCTAGAGTTAACGGGGCCATCTTAGCTTTTTTTTTTTTTTTTTTTTTTTGGGGGACCGCGGGCCTCTCACTGCCGTGGCCTCTCCCATTGCGGAGCACAGGCCCCAGCCGCTCCGCGGCATGTGGGATCTTCCCGGACCGGGGCACGAACCCGTGTCCCCTGCATCGGCAGGCGGATTCTCAACGGCTGCGCCACCAGGGAAGCCCCACCTTAGCTATTTTGAGGGGAAAGCCTACCTGAGGTTGAGCCAAACAAAGAGGAACAGAGAGCCATGAGAGTCAAGTTCCTCCCAGTATGGTTCAAACACCTGGATTCAGCTATGCCTGAAAGCAGCTACCTTTGGATTTCTTGATTGCATTAGCCAGCAAGACCTTCCTCTTTTGTTTATACTTCCTTGAATTGGGGGTTGACTCTAACTCTATCCCAGGGCTGGTGCTGCCAGTTCAGGCATGTAGGGGAAGGAGTGGATGGGGATGTCACCTGCTTTATTTCCTGAAGCGGGGCCATAGTCTGTGATGCACTGACCACCTTGGCACGAGTCGGGACTGCTGTGTTGGGTCTTCCTTCTGGTTCATTGGCTCCTGTTGAGAAGCTCCAATTGATTTAGGGGGGGCCAGGAGGAGTGGCTGCTGGGGGTATAGCTCAGGAGAGGTTATAGGCCAGGAGTAGATGAGACTGAAGCAGGTACCTGCTGCAAGTTGTCTGCTGGGGTCTGGTGATTCAGGCCACAGCCACCAAAAGTCAGCTGCGGTTGGGCCTGCAGACTCGCGTTCCTCTCGGCTTGTGGGCTGAGCCTGTCGGAACCGGTTTATGTACCTGTGAGCATCAGAGAATTGCAAGGTGGGTGGGATGAGGAGAGCCTAATATTTAATAATAACAATAATAATCACAATAGCCAATGTTTACCTAGCTCCATAGCAGCACTTGGGAGTTGTCCCTCAACATCAGTTCTCCTTTCTTATAGAGCAATGCAATTTTGTTTTGTTTTGTTTTGTTTTGTTTGCCAGGCTGTGCGGCATCTGGGATCTTAGTTCCCCAACCAGGGATTGAACCTGTGGCCCCTGCATTGGGAGTGCGGAGTCTTAACCACTGGACCGCCAGGGAAGTTCCCCAGTAATGCAGTATTATATAAGATGATATAATCCGGGGCACATAGCCACTCTTCTATAAATACATTTACCAGGTGCCCTTGTAGCTTTATGGCCATGTAACTCTGTTCTTGACCAACAGGTACGAGGAGATGTGATTCTGGAAAGTGGATGTGGCTGGGAGCCATTATGGGCCATGAAGGAAAGGGTAACAGCCTAGGGAAGTGAGAGCGACAAGACAGAAGGAAACTGTGTCTCTGAGACCTCAATTAGGGGCTGCCATATCAGGCCTGGTTGCTTCTGTCTGGACCATTAGGTGAGGAAGAAATAAGTGCTCTCTTGTTTAAGCCACAATTAATTTGGGACTCTATGTTACAGCAGCTGAACTTGGATCCTACAAATCCAAGTGCTCACTATGTGACAGGCATTGTTATAGATGCTGCACAGACAGTAACTCATTGAAAATTTAAAACAGCCCTAGAGCATACATGCTATTAATATTCCCAATTTACAGATGAGGAAACTGAGGCCAGGATCATATACAGAGTTGGTGACAAAGCTTGGATTTGAACCTCGCTCCAGATCTCTTGCTAACATGCATGAAGTGTGGTCCTAAAAGTGCAGATCTGGCTGTGATATTATGGGATGTCTGCCCCCTCCCACTGATCCAAACCCTTCTTTTCCCCCAGGGCTACTGCTACTTACTTGGCCACCACAGAGTCCCCACTGTCAGTCACAGTGAGTGGTGGAGAGGCTCCCATCTGTCCCTCAGTGGTGCTGGGTGGGGAAGGCGTCCTTGAGCTGGATGGCCAGGACTCCTCAAACAGCTCAGGGGATTTGGGACCTGTGGCCAGAGCCCTGGAAGCTTCTGGGAGCCTGGATCTCTGGGACCTGGATGAGCTCAGGGTCTAAGATAGGGGAAGCGAGGAGAAGAAAAAGTGAGGCCGAGGGGTTATCCCTGTAGGGTAACGAAGACACATACAAAGTCTCAGTCCGGAGGGGAGGAAACATCCCACGATTGCAACAACTCAAAGTGATTGGGGCTGTGATGAGGGATTTAGGTGGTAGAGGACAGGATAAGGGTAGGGCCATAGGGAAAAGAGGAGGGACTGTCTTTTGATCTCTCACCCCCATCTCTCATCATGTCTTCCTTCCCTCTAGTCGTCACTCCCTTGCTACTGGGCTGCGACACAGCACTCTCTGTTGGCTGTCCTCACCTTGGGGTGCCAGGTCAGAAGTGGCTTCGACCCAGGGGGCCGTCCCCCAAAGTACTGTCTTGGGTGGAGAAAACTGGCAAGCTGCAAGGGGAGAGGGGGGTTGGCAGGCAAAGCATGGTCACTGCAGCCCTGCTGGGAGGCTGTATGTGGGTGGGGTGAATGGGAGAATGGTAAGAGGGCAGAACCACACTACGATTCCCATGGATTCCTGGAAGAGATGGACTATAATTCCCTTGAAGCACCACTGCACACTCAAGATAATGATACTGGTGGCACGATTCCCACCAGCCCTTGGAGCAGTCTCAAAAGAGAAGAACCCAGGAACTGTTGGTTGGTGGTTCTTAACCGTGGATCCAGTCCAGGAGGAATCTTTTAAAACTACTGATGCGTGATCCTCACCGCAGACCAAAAGAATCAGAATATCAGGAAGGGGGCTGGGCATCTACGTACATCTTCTTCGCAGTGTCCCAGGTGATTCTGAAGTGGAGCTCACGTTAAGGGCTAAACCTTATCACTGTACATTTCCCATAAGTCCTTGGGACACTATCTGAGGAGAAAGGGGTAGATGGGCTACAGTCCCTATAGTCACTGGGCTCCGCCTAAGCAAGAAAGGTCAAAAATAACACCCATGGGAGTCTGGGGACAAATTCTAAATTAAGAATCTTAATTCCCAAGATGCCCCTGAGAATTGCGAGGTTAGAGGGAAAAAAAAAAAAAAAAAAAAAGCCCTCGGGGCCACTTAGCGGAACGTAAGACGCTATGGAACCCCCGAGATGGTGAAGTCCAAGGCGGGAGCCGCTTAAGGCTGTGGAGCATCTTGGGAGTTGTAGTTCCAGTGCCGTTGAGAACGAGAGACTCCGCACCCTAGAAAACCTGGTCCTAGGCTGCGTTGCTCTCACCCTTGGTCCTCCCCAGGCCCATTGTGATCCCCGGAAGAGGGATCGGTCTCACCTGCGGTCCATCCCGCAGCTACCTCGCCGATTCCGCCTGCTCTGCTCGGTCACCGGACTCACTCTGAGCGCATCTTTGTCGCTTAGCAATGCCCTATCAGCCCCGCCCCTCTCTGGGACTGCAGGCGCGGGAAGAGAGCGGCCTCCAAGGCGACGAATGATAGGAAAATAAAAGTAATTGGACGGTGGCCAAAGGGAGGTGTCTCACAATTGGTTGGCTATAACGTGAATGAGAGAGCATGTTTAATTGGAGAACCGTAGCGAGCTGCAGTAATTGGCAAGTCCGTGGACCAATGGAAAGAAGCTGAGACTGGGCTCGCGGTTAGGAGGGGTTCCAATGCACTCTTGCTTTCCTGTACTCGTGTATTCTGGCCGCTCCCCTTCTTGCTGCGTAAATCTCATCCAGATTTCAGTCTAACTACGGCTTTTCCCGTTGCAGGGGCAATAAGGGCGTCTATGCCCTCTCTAACCGCCGTCCCTCCATCAGTCCAGCAGCCTACCAGTCCCACCCGGTCATCTAAGCATTTCCGTCTTGCTCCAGGAGCAGCTGGTTGCGCCAGATGCCAGGCCTGGGCTCCTGGCCGAGGTGGCTGGATCAAAATGAGCTATTTTGGGCCCCGGCGCGCTGCCCCAGGGGGGCCAGCCTGGACTGTTCTTGCCCGCACCCCCTGGCCGCTGCTCACCTGGCAGACCCCGCTGCCCTGTGCACCCGAGGCTGAGTCAGATGCACAGAATTAGGCCCGGCTTGCAGGGAGGCTGGGACCAGGGCCCTGCTGAGATGGGAATAGGGTCTGTTCAGTGTCCTCCTGACAGCCTGGCCCAGCTACCGCATTCCCGGTACCCAGGAATCTGCTCCTAAGACCGCCATCTGCGTTATCCTCAGAGCGCCTTTGGGGCGGGGGTGGATTAAAGGGACTGGGAATTCTTTGGTGGGTTTCTCAGGCCGTGGATCTCAAACGCCACGCTTGCACCCCACTCTGGCAAGGCTCCGCCTCCTCAGCTTTAATTTTCCTTTCGGAAAATTGGGGAATGATATCTCCCTGGCATTCAGCAGGCGCTTAATAAATGGCCAAGTCATTGTTGGGCTGTCTAAATAAGGCTCTATTAATGGCCGGCTCTGGCCGCAGTCCCAACGTCCCCGGGCGGCCCGCCGAGGGGCGGACACAGAGCGTACTATAAAGCAGCGGCGGCACCCGCTGGGGCACTGCGGAGACTAGGACGGCGGCGGCAGCGGCGGCGGAGCACGATGGAGATCCCGGTGCCTGTGCAGCCGTCTTGGTTGCGCCGCGCCTCGGCCCCGTTGCCCGGGCTTTCGGCACCCGGGCGCCTCTTCGACCAGCGCTTCGGCGAGGGGCTGCTGGAGGCCGAACTGGCTGCGCTCTGCCCCGCCGCGCTGGCCCCCTACTACTTGCGCGCACCCAGCGTGGCGCTGCCTACCGCCCAGGTGCCAGGCCTGGGGGAGGGGCGGTAACCCGTCTACTTCCAAGGCTGGGGTCCCCGGTCACCCTGAGGGGGGTGAAGGAATGTCCCTTGACTTTGAGCGGGCCAGAGAGTCCGGCCCCTCAGAGGGGCTTCCGGAGTTCCCTGAGTATGGATTCTCGGAGGTCAGGTTACTGAAAGGGGTGGGAGGTCCCCGTCAGTCTGAGGAGGGTCTCAGCTTCGAGAGGGAGTGTAAGGGCCGGGTCAGTAATTGGGTGGGGGCGGTCACTCTGAGGGAAGTCTTGGTGATTCTGAAGGAGGCTGGGGACCCAGGGAATCTGGGAAAAAGGGGGAGCCCAGTCATTCTGAAGGGCGTGGGGCTCCCAGTGCCTCCCGAGGGGGAGGGAATAGTTTGTTATTCTTGAGGAAGAGAGTTTGAGACTGTGGTGACTGTATGTCTCCTGGAGAGGTAGAGGGGAGGGAGGGTCCTGTGACTTGAGAAAGGGGGGTCTGGCCACTCAGAAGTGGGGGAGGAGTACTGGTAACTACTGAGGGCGCAAGCAATCCCGTGACTCGAGTGGGAGGGTAGAAAGGGGAGACTGGGGGAGGAGGCATCTTGACGATTTCTGGCGGGGGTGGCGCAGTAAGGGCCCCTGGGGCTCTGAGGGGAAGGGGGCTGAGCAGTGTTCAGAAGGACACGCTGACTACGGCGTTGCTGACACTGGGGGAGAGGGCAGGCCTTACCCCGTGAGGACGGAGGTCCCTGACCTTGTAGGGTAAGGGGGCCTCATCACTCTGGATGAGAGGGGAATCCCAGTGGCTACAAGGGGAGGGATGATCCCAGTTATTCTGGGCGAAGAGGTCCTCGGTGGCTACGTGTAGGAAAGGGGACGCCCCAGTTCCAGAGGCCAGGAACAGCTGCAGCACCGGAACCAACGGAGAACCAAGGGGAGGGGCCTTTCTGGGTCCCCGGAGCCTCGCCCCGCCCGATGACTATCGGGCTGTGCGCAGGTATCGACCGACCCCGGGCATTTCTCGGTGCTGCTGGATGTGAAGCACTTCTCACCGGAGGAAATCGCCGTCAAGGTGGTTGGCGACCACGTGGAGGTGCACGCGCGCCACGAGGAGCGCCCGGTGAGCCCGCCGGCGGGGGCGGGGCCAGAACGAGTACGCGGGAT